CCCAGATGAATAAAACAAACATCAAAAGAAATCTGTACTGGTCCCTGTAAAACTCTCGGCTGTTCTGGAGCTCTCAAGAAGGGAGGTTGAAGCAGCCCGGGGGTGCGTGGTGGTTTTGAATGGACAGAGCTCAGACAGGAAGACTCGATGCCGATTCCTGTACAAAGTTGAGGCAGAAAATGTGGAGTTAGGATTTGCTGTCCTCTGCTGGGAATTGCTGGGAAAAATTGCTATTGCGGCTTTTACACCTTCTTGAGCAGCTGAGAAAGTAACTCAGGAGAAACAGCAAAGGCTTGTTTCTGCCCTTATTAATTTGCCAGAATCTGTAGTGATTTGGCTTCCAGCTGAGTATAAGTGTGAAAGAAGAATCTTCTGACCCCTCCAATGCTGGTCTTGCTGCTCTCTGCCAGCCAAGACAGGGACACAGCTCTGCCTGCCCCAGGTCACCCCAGACTGCATCTGTTCACTAAATCTGTGCTGGGGAGAGCAGGGCTCTCCCAGCTGCATCGACTGGATCGGCTCTGGGCTGTGATTATGGCAAGGCTGTAACCAGCGTTGTCTGTGCTGTGCAGGCTGAAGCTCCACCAGCAGCTCTCCTGTGTTGGGTGCTGGGGTTAGATGCTCTGTAGGTCAGCAGCTGGGAGGACACTCTCAGATTGGGAAATCTGCCTTGAATTCTGCAGTTTGACTCCCTGGTCTGAGTCCTTCTTCTTATTTTCCTGGCTCCTCCAAAAATTTTACGCAGTGCTGTCCCCTCTGCTGACATCTGTTGAAGTCCTGGAACGGAGACAAAACTTCACTGGGAGTCCTCCTAGGACACCCTGCAGCACCTTCAGCATTTCAGCTGCCTTGTGTAGCTGTTCCTGCACTTCCTTTGCTTCTCCTGACTCAATATTTGTCACTGCAAGGCTGGAGGGTGCAGCTGGAAGCCATGGGATCGAACATGATGATTTACAGCTCTTCTGTTCCTCTGGGAGATGAGATGGGGATTTCCAAAGCAGTGGAAACTGCTCTGGAAATTCACTGTGGGATTTGGCAGGAAAAACCTTTTTTGTCATCTGTTTGCCTCTTGGGAGGGGTCAAGGAGGTGCTGAGACACCCTTGGAAAACACCACTGAGAACCCTGAATTACAGCTGTCTGTCTGAGGACCTCCCTTCCCTCCTTGGCAATCTGAGCAAGGAGCCTCCAGAGGGAGAGGAGCTGTCACGGAATTGCTGCAAACAGCCAATGTGGCCAGCAGGAATAACACAGCATGCTGCAGCAATGGCTGCTGTACCAGGTTTTCATCAGCTTCAGAGAATAGTCTCATTTTCAGCCAGACCTGCTCTTACACAGAAGCGAATATGTAATCAAGGATTCTGAACACAGCAGGATTAATTGCAGCAGTGTTTTCAACATGTGACATCCACTGTCTTTGTTCTAGAATACAGTGAAGGCAGCTGGCCTGCCCTAAAAGACAACAACCTCCAAGCAGATGGCAAAGCAGAAATTTCCATATCTTGATTCCCTTATCTTCATGCATTAGGGAAGGAGAAGGCAGTTAGAACTAATTCTGACCTTTAAGCATTTGTGTTTCCCTTTTCTTTCATCTCTGTTACCTCCAGCTCATTTCTGCATGTTGAAGGGAATAAAGATGAGCCCTTCATGCTTTTCTTGGTGTCCAACCTCATCCCTCAAAGAGCACAGGCTGCCAAAGCCACACAGGGTAACACCTCTGTGTGCAGAGCTCCACTGAGCTCCTCAAAGGACCTTTCTCTGCTGTCCTTCCACAGGAATCAACTCTTCTCTAGGAGATGACCTGTCGGGTTGCAGAATCTGTTAAAACATACTACTAACATCAGATTGGTTTTTTATTTGCCTGCTGCAGTTCGGCCATAGACAAGAAGACAGGGGAGAAAGTGGCCATCAAGAAGCTGTGCCGCCCGTTCCAGTCAGAGATCTTTGCCAAGAGAGCCTACAGAGAGCTGATGCTGTTGAAGCACATGCAGCATGAGAATGTGAGTGCCCATTTCTCCTCTTCCTGCTGACACAAGAGGTGTTTCCTTGATACCTGGGAGCAAGTCCTTTTTGGTGGCATCACCTGTGTTTTAATTGACATTTGGTATGTGCAGGTTGTCTCAGGGTTTACCTGTGACCTGTTTGCTGTGCCCAGGATGGAGCAGGTGTGTAATGGGTGAGCCCAGGTATTAGTAAGAGGGAAAACATTTGTGCAGCATCAGTGAGGAGTCCCTGGGTTCCTCAGATGGAATTTTCTGTGCTCACCCACGTGTGCCAATGGAGAGGTGATAAGTGCTATGTGCACAGCAAATGCTTTCCAGATTTAAATGTGGGCTTCTCTCCTTCCTCAGGTCATTGGGCTGCTTGATGTCTTCACCTCCACTGCCTCCTACCATGGGTTCCAGGACTTGTAAGTCTGGAGTTGTTTGCTCTGTATAGACTTAACTGTTTTCCAAGACAGCTGTGTCTTAGCAGCAGCATAACAGAGAGGGTTGAGATGCAAAGGGACCAGATTAGAATCCAGGCATCCCCAAATAACGCAGAGAACCCAGAGCACCCATCAGCTCCCATGGCTGACACACCCAGAACACATAAACAGATCCCACCCCTGCTCCCAGCTGGGACACCACAGCAGGCACAGACCAACCTGTGCAATGAGGATGTGTTACATTCCATGGTGCATCACACCTAGGGTGATCCAAGTCACTGTGTGACTGCTGAGCTGAGGGGCTGCACTCAGAATGGGAGAAGTATTGTTCATCAGGCCTCAGGGCAATTAAACTTAGAATTTGAAAGATCTGTCCTTCTTTTCCTCTTGATTCTGGCTAGTCTCAATTTTTTTGGCATTTTCCCTCTGTGTTCATGGTCATGTTGGACAAGTCCTTTTTCCTTCCCCATCACTGCAGATGAGCAGTGTGTGCCTGGGTTTGGGGTTTGGCTGATGGCTGAGTGTTAGCAGCCTGCAGGACGAGCATGTGAAGGTTCTCAGAGCAGCTCCTGCAGGAAGACCATCAATTAGCAGCCTCAGCAGGCAGGTACTGAAGAAAGCTGGATGTTGTCTTCTGAGGCAGGGCTGGAGAACATTACAATGACAAATTTGGGAGCCAATGCAGCTCCTTTGCTGTGTAAGACGTTTCAGCTCCTGGGTGGTGAAAGGCTGTACAAAATTGAACTTCACTTGAGGTCTAAACTAATTCAGGATCCTGAAGATCCTTGTTCTTACTTGACCTCAGATACCTGATTTCAGAGGAGAAAAAGCAATTTTCAGAACAGGTTGAAATTCCAACTTCTCTTAAGGATGTGCTAGTTAGCCAGGAACTGTCACAACAACTCATCTTCCTTACAGTGAGTTATACAGCCAGAAAAGCAAACCAAAGTGAGAACAAGGCTAGCCTGGTCCCCTGCATTTTTCTTCCAGACTCAGGGCCTTGTCTTACTGCCTTTTAGCTACCTGGTGATGCCATACATGCGGACAGATTTACAAAAGATCATGGGACATGAATTCAGTGATGAAAAGATCCAGTACCTGGTCTACCAAATGCTGAAAGGGCTGAAGGTAGGTGGGTCTGGAGGAGTTTAGTGACTCCCTGTGTCTCCTCTGTGTGTCACCTCTGGGCTGACCCTAACTAAACTCCCCTCCAATACTGTACAGGAGGATGTGGGGAGTTTATGGCATCCCCTCAGAACAGGTATTGGCTGTTGAACCATTCCTGTTCCAGCACACAACAATAAAATGAGTGTTTGCTTACATCAGCTGGGTATCAGAGTAATCAGCAGCCACAGGCCTTGGGATGTTTTTTCCATCTTGCTTCTTGCCCAAACCCTTAGCAAAACTCTGCACAGAGAGGGAGAGACTGGCAGCAGCAGGAGCTCCTGCAAACTCTGGGATGTAGAGACAGAGCTTTCCAGCTGTCCTCTCACATCCTTCACCTGGAGTCACAGCAGTGGCTTACAGGCATCAATGGGTTCACCTCAATCACCCCTCTCCCCCAGTCACTGCTACCTTGTGTTTAAATAAAGAGGGAAAGAACACACAGAAGGGTTGACTGGTATGCTAAAAACCCTGAAGTCAGTTTTGCAATTTTATGGTTTTGGGCCAAGATTATTTTTGAACACCCAAAACAACCATGTTCTCATGTCATCTGCTGTAACCTTGATGACTTTGATAGTTTGAAGCTGTTGCACTTGCTCTGAGGAGCTATTGCTTCATCCCTCCTCTTCTCCTCTATGCATCTTCTTTAGACTGGCAATATCATTGTAAATACTGACAGTAATTTGGGGCAGAAATTTCTCTTTCAAACTGCTTCCCTAGGGACCAGGGACCTGTAGAAGGCTGCAGAAGTTTGTTCTCAGCAAGTTCTTGTTTATAGCTCTCATTTCTCTGCTGGAGAACAGAAAATTTTGTCTGCTGGTGATCACATTGTGGCTCCTCTTTTTATTGCAGTATATTCATTCAGCTGGCATTGTCCACAGGGTAAGTTCATGTGTGTTCTTATTCTGATTTTTGTCTGAGAAACACAGTATAGTCATAAAGTTAATAAATTCCTAGCCATCATTTCACTAATAGCATTGTCTGCTCTATTTTCCATCCTGTCTGCTCTATTTTCCATCCTACATCCCATATATGTTTGGATTTGCTAATTTGTGTGGCATTTTGAGAAAATGCTGTGTCTTCTAATGAGCTGAGAAGCATTTTATGATGCTTTTTGAATTAAAACGGTTTCAGAAAAGAATAAAATAGTAATCTAATGCTGTTCAGTATAGCAGGCATGGTGTTTATTCAGTCATTTGCTGCATTGATACTGAACCTGGGGTGTTATGCGACCCCATCAAAGGCAAGCAGAGGTTCAACTGAGAATTGTGTTGATGCATTGCAGCTTGAATCATCCAATTTTTCTGCTCCTGTCTGTTGTAGGACCTAAAGCCAAGTAACCTGGCTGTGAATGAAGACTGCCAGCTGAAGGTAGGTGGCAAAGCAGCACTTTGCAGCACATCAGCTCCTGGAGGAACTGCTCTGCCAGCAGGAAATTGGCACTGTCATGTTTCCTCCTTCCCCCTGAGCCACCATTCCAGGCGTTGTGTTCCTTGGCGGCTGCAGCAGTGGGAAATACTCCCCTGCTGATGTCACTTGCTGAATCAGGACACAAGACCTCAAATGAGCCTTCTGTCACTGTAATCCCCACGGATAGCAATGTGTAATGACTTCCTAGAGAAATTCAGCACTGCTGAGCAATGCTTGAGCAGGTGAATGATCCCTGAAGGGTAACTGGATTCAGCTGCAGTTGCCCTTTGGTTCTTATGGACATTGTGGTTGTGATTCCAGACAAAGTCATTTTCAGGATTGCTCTGAAGGGTTTGCTTGCTGCTGGCTGGTGTGGCGCTCTAGCATGCATTTTCTGTAATGTATATTTCAGGGAGTGGCTCTGCTGCCCATAAAGATTGGGTCAAGCTTGTTCATCTGCAGCATTGAGGGAGAGGCCATGCTGTGTCACCTGCAAGGTGCTCTTATAGGAAAGGGTGAGCTGTAGTGACCTGGGAGCACACCTTCACCACCAGGTCACAGACCAACTCCAATAAAGCACACTGACTCAAAACTTAAGTTCAAGAAAGGCAGAGACCATCCAGGGAGCACAAAGCACTGATCCTTTAGCAGGGTCTTCTCATGACAACAGGTTTTGCAGCTGGCTTGCAATTTACAGTGGAATTAAGACATATTAATTCTTTGAACCATCCCATGGGTGTCTGTGGTTTAGCTTTGTTATTATCTGATTGGAGCTACTCCATTTTCTCTTAGAAGTAGAGTCTCACTTGCCCATAGGATTTCTCTTTTATCTCCTACCTTCCCTTCTCCTTATTCTTCTTTTGGCACTGCAGATCTTGGATTTTGGCTTGGCCAGACAGGCTGATGCTGAGATGACTGGCTACGTGGTCACACGGTGGTACAGAGCCCCAGAAGTCATCCTGAACTGGATGCATTACAACCACACAGGTGAGCAGCCCTGCCCCAGCATGTGACTCCCTGGTGATGAGCTGGGGGATCCTGCTGGCTCAAATCTCACAGAACTGTCCAGTTGTTTTTCCTCTTTTTTTGTCAGTGTTCCCTGGAGCAGAGCAGGTCCCAGAGGTATTGCACAACTCCCAGTGCTGCTGCTTGCAGGAAATGATGAAAGCAGAGATTTTAGCAGCATAGAAAAAACAGAGGAATGGGGGAGGGAATGAAATTTAAATCAGTGCTTGCTACAAGCAACAGCAAAAGTGACAGCCCCAGCAACCACTGCTGCCTTTTAAATGATTTTTTAAAATTTTATTTTCTTCCTTTTTCCTTCTTTTTCTCTCTGAACAGTGGATATCTGGTCTATTGGCTGTATCATGGCAGAAATGCTGACTGGGAAAACACTCTTTAAAGGAAAAGACTGTATCCTTTCAAGCTGATCCTTTTGCCTCAGCAGAGTAATAATTCTTAGTGTGTGTGTGGAAGGGTTTTTATGAATGATGCTACAGAGAAAAACAGGTGTCAGTCTGGTTTATCAGGAGGTAATCACAAAGACCAGTCTTTTTGGGGAGGAAACCAGAAGGGGACATCAGAAATACACCTCTGTGGTGGCATGGTTCTTCATCAGCTGTTCAAACTTCTGTGGCCACAGCTCCATTCCCAAAGCTTTGCATATCCTTCCAAGCCCATGGATGTGTGTCCTGGCATAGTTGTGCCAGGAAAATGATCTATTGATGGAAATGCCATTTCAGGAAGAAGGGCTTAGAGCTCTTTTTGCCAGTCTAATGAATCTCTACTTGTGTGACTGTGGTGGGTTTGTATCATGAGCTAATCGTACACTTCTCGCAGGCTGAGCTGGGGTGGGGGTTTGCTCCTCAAAGGCTGATCTTTAACACAGCTTGCCAGACCTGGATCAACTGACCCAGATCCTGAAAGTAACAGGGCATCCAGGAGAGGACTTCTTGGAGAAGCTGGAGGACAAAGCGGTAAGGAAGTTCCTGTGGCAGAGGTGTCAGGGGAAGAGCTTGACTTGTGTTTGGCATGGGAGAGGTGCTGCCTCCACAGCAGCAGGGAAGTGCAGCAGCAGCCTTTCCCCCTGGAAAGGGAAGCATTTCTCTGTGCTGGTGGCACATCTGATGGACGCGGTGCTGCGTTGGGAATGGCTGTGTTTGGCAGGGACTCCCACATGAGGTGCCTGATGCCCCAGCAAACCAATTTTCTCTGTTCTGCTTGGCTCCTAAAACATAAGTATTTTTCTGTCTTGACCGATAAAAACAGTTCCTTGTAAACTGTTTGCTGAAATGGGACATATTTGGGATGCTTTGCTCTTCTCTTCATTTGCTTTTGCTCATCAGAGCCATGAGACTGAGAGCTGTTATCACACCTGTCCATGTGCAGTAACTGTGCTCTCCTTGCTCTTTCAGGCGAAGAGTTATATCAAGTCCCTTCCTAAAATCCCCAAGAAGGATTTGTCTGTGCTTTTTCCTAAAGCAAATCCTCAGGGTAAGTAATCTCCAGCATTTCTCATGAGTTTTCACAGTTGGAAGGGAGGCAAGCTGACTGCCACGGACCCAACTTTATTTCTCCTTCTCATAATTTTTTGCTACTTTTTTCCCTTGCAATTTGTGCCCCTGCCTTTCCTCAGGAAAGTATCAGTTAAAAGCAGAATTATCTTTTATTGGCATTACAATGGCTATGTTCTGCTGTTCTTGGCCATTTACTACTTTTTTTTTTTATTATTATTTTTAACTACAGTGTAGAAACTGTTCATTGAATACCTGGATCTAGCAATATTTAACAGACAGCTGATGTGAAATTTTCAGGGTAAGAATTAGTCTCTTAGAAAGAGCTCTCTTCCCACATAGGTTAGTGGTGAGAGCAAGCAAAACTCTTCTAGAAACTGAATGAAAGAAAGTCTTAAAATGATAAAACCAAGTGGGAATGGGACTGACAGACAAGTCAGCATCTGAGTTTCCTGCCCTCCTCTCTACCAGGGATGTATAGGTTTCTATGTTTTTATACAGATTACTCATGTTAAGACTCCTTTGAGATTCAGGTCTCTGAATGAAAGCAAATGATTAAAATTGAAAAATATCTTGAGGTTACTGGCTTACTCCTCATGTCTCTGCAGCCCAATCTGTGCAGCAAGGCTTATTCAGGTCTAATTTGGTATTTCTGCACAATTTAACTTGTGTTAGTAAGAGCTTCCCTGAGGCTGTTGTTGGGCAGACTTTGCATCCCCACTGATGGGAGCTCCTTGCTGCCTTGGCCAGGTTGAGGATTCTCTTCACTGCTCAGGTCTGGAGATGAAACACTGGAAATACCAGTGCCACTCCTGCAGGGTTCAAGCACAGGGTGCCTGTGCTCCCCTGCACCTTGCCTAGCCTTGTTCCCATCCTCTACAGCTGTGGACCTGCTGGACAAGATGTTGCAGCTGGATGTGGAAAAGCGCCTTACGGCAACACAGGCCTTGGCTCACCCCTACTTCGACCAGTTCCGAGATATCGAGGAGGAGACAGAGGCACAACACTCCTATGATGATTCTCTGGAACATGAAAAGCTTTCAATAGAGGAGTGGAAAAGTAAGAAGTTGATTTTCTTTGAGGTTCCTGTCTAGCATGGGACTTCCCTACCCCTCTTTCTTTCCTGTACAGATGCTGAGTAAAGCTGTGATTGCCTGCTGATGCCTCATGGTAGTGCAGAGATCCCTTGCTTTCATCAAAAGATCCCTCCAGCTCTTCAGACAGACTTTTCTTTCTCCTTTGTCTCTTTCAGCTGCCACTAAATGCCTTTTTCTGCACATCCAACACTCCAACTTTTATTTGTGTCCTCTAAAATCACACATTAATGGTTATTTTGTTCTGCTTTTCAAGAGCACATTTACAAGGAGATCTTGACCTTCAGTCCCATTGCACGGAAGGATTCAAAGAAGAGAAGTGGGATGTCATTATAGCAATGGGTGCAGCTGTGGATGGGATTCAGTTCTCCTTGATGACATCAGATTCATTCCACACTGCGTTGCTGGTGGCCAACTTTTGGCCTGTGGGACCTCTCTCTATGTGCCAACACAAGGATGACACTGTGCTGTGGGCATTGGACTTTGTTCTATAAAGGGGAAACACCCCAGACAATTTTCAACATAAAAGACAAATATATTCTTGTTGAAACTTTGAGAGAATTTTACATGGTGTTTCCTTTTTTTTCCCCCCTATATTTGTCCACTTGAGAGAGGATGGGTTTCATTCTCATTAGTCTTTTCAAGCACAGAGTTGAATACATTAATTATGGATGAGGTAACAAAAAAAGGTAAAATTGGCTGGGAGTCCTAAGCAGAAGGATCAGAAATACTGAATTTCAGCATAACAAGACCTTAACTGATTTCACTCTGGCTGTGTCCTGCTTCCCTAAGCAGTCACAAAGCACCCAGTAGAGCAAGGCTGCTGGAATGGTGTCAGCTCCAGGGCACCAGGGGATCACCCTGTGTTCAGAGCAGCGATAAACTCATCCTCTCATCCTATACACACAATTCTGCTCAGATGCTTCCTCTCCAAAGAGCCACTGCCTCTTTTCTTATTTTTCCCCTGATTATTTCATCCCTGGGTTTTGATCAGTGCTGTCTCCTCCTCACTGCCAGCAGCAAACAAAGCCTGGGAATTAGAGGCCACTTCCTACGGACTGGGAGTCCCAAGCAGCTGCACAAGTTACTATGAATATGGATCTGCAGGACGTTTTCCAGCCTGTGCTGAAACTTGAGGATCTGCAGATCCACAGCTTACCAATACAGTCACTTGATAGTGCAGGCACAGCTGCTCGTTGTGATAACACCTTTGGACTGCAACACCTTCCCTAGGGTGATCAGGCAAATTCAGCCAATCATTCCAAAGTCCATCCCAAGGGATATGTGCCAAGAGCCAAGGGCCTTCTCTGTATCAGAGCTCATACCACAGAGTCCCCAGGACTGGAGAAAAGTATTGAGAAGGTATTTGACCTCAGTAATACATACAGAATTCTCAACTCCCCCTCTCTTCTATAGCTGCTGACTTGGTTTGGTTTGGTTTAGCCAGGTTGTTTGTTTTCAGTACTCTCTAATTTTCTTCTTAAGTAATTTTCAGTTTTGCTGTAGAGACCACAAGTAAGGAAAAACTGCAACATTTCCAGAATTTTCTGGTCTCTCTTCACTGGTAACTGGGCAGTGATGTCATGTTGCTTGGCTGCCTCCCTGTTGCAGCTAATGGCATGCAGCACTGGGGATAACCCTGCAGTGACTGCAGCTTTTTGATAGGATGGTGTTGATGTTTGCCTGCTGTAGCTGCACAGATGGTCCATGATGATAAGGTTTCTCTTGGCTTGCATCTGTCTGGGTCATGTACAAGGCCTTTGCTTCACTCCTCTCTTAGGTAGGGGAAGTGAGCACAGAGCTGTTGTGGTGTGTCCTCAATTCCCTGGAAATTAAATGTTTTCTTATGCAGCACTCTTTTGTGAAGAGTGCTAGGGAGATGCAGTAATGTTCTGCTGCCTCTGTCCTGAAAAACACAGCTTGATGAGTTTAGGCTTCATCCTTTCCTCTTGCTAAGGAACAACCTTAATCTTCCTTGAATGGCAGAAGGCAGTTCTAGCTCCATCTGTCAAACTGCAGCTGGAATACTGTGCTTTTGAATCTGACCTGGCTGCCATGTGCATAATCTTGAACAGAGGTTGGAGAGAAGCCCTCTGCAGCTGCCATCAACATCTCAGAGAGCTGCAGATGTTTAGAGCTGCCTGTGCCAGGGTAAAATGAGGCTTGGTGCTTTGCAGCAGAGGGTCACTGTCCAGGTGAGTGTTTGTGAGTGCACAGGGAGATGTTTCAGGGCTGTGGGTGAAGCCCTCCTGACTACATGCAACCCTGGACATGGAGAGGCAAAGAAGTCTTAAAAGCTCTGTCTCGTATAAATGTAAGTACCTCTATGGTGACCCTTAAAGTAGAGATCTTTCTTTCAGAAAGTCATCTCTAAAGTCAAAGTCATCTGCTAGGGCAAAGAACCCATCCAGACAGAACTCATGAACCACAGTAAATGGGAATGTAGGGTATTTCTTAATCATTTTGCCCTCCTTCAAAAGGGGATAGGTAAACCTGAAGAGTCTTCTGTCTCAATAATGATGGCTGAGGGAGGAAACATCTGCACAATAAAGGAATGTACTGAGCAGTCTGCTGGTAGTTGAAAAGGGACTTGGATAGTTGTAGAAATAATTTAAAATGTCCTTTGGGAATTGTCTGTCTGAGCAGAGGACAAGCATGAAGAGGCACTGGGGACATGTGATACAAATAGGTGTGAGAAGAACAATTGTGAGCATAACCAAGTAGGGTACACAGATTCTGCAAACATCAGTCTCACTTGTTTTAGGGATTGCACATAATCTTCAGCATCAGTCTTTCTGCCGAGTATACAGCCAGTTTCAGGGAGTGGGTTTCTCGGTAGGTTTACACTTACCCTGAATGCTCTGAAATTGCAAGAGCAATCCCAACAGCTGCTGTGTGGGCTCCATGCTCTGGTTTCATTCATTCACCCACCAAACCCATACAGTGACAGAACACTCTGCAAAAGGATTACCCAATACCCCAACAAATATGGGGAGCAGGTGCTCTGTAAGTTCAGGAACCCTGGAGGTGTATGTATATTTGGTTTTTTGTGGTATGTATAATCCAAGAACTCAAAATAGACAGTAGAAAATGTAGCAGGTTGGTAGTGGAAAGAGTATCTGTACATACCAACCATCCCAGTGCTCCTACAGCATCTGAGGACGCGTTTCAATGAACAGCAATGAGCTGCCAGAAGGGGGAGGTGGGGAGAAATTCTATTGACATTTCCTGAAAGGAATTTGAAAATCACCTGCTTGACAGAGCCAGTGACTCAGGCCAAGGCTGGAATCCTTCAAAATCAGCACCAGAACCGAGAGGGGGTGTGTGACCCTGACAGACACTGTGAGTCAAAGCAGAAATTACCTCATGCAGAGGTGCACGCAGTGCCCGGTCGATGACTCACACTGACACATCATTCATGGACATTCCTTTCATTACAAGTATAATTTACATTCTTAAAAACACAAAACCAAGTGATAAAAATCCCTCAGCCATTAAGTGGTCCAAAATTCCATAAATCAGGCCAGCCAAAAATATGTTTTACTGTTTGTATTAAGTTTCTATTATATAAATTTACACAGATATATTTATGGCATTTTTGTGCCTGTCTCAGATAACTTACAGATGTCTAACCTGGAATACTATTTACTTGCTATTCTTACATTAATTTCTGACTTCTAAACATCTTTCTTTAATTTGGAAAATAAAGCCTTCAGAAACAATCTTTCTCTGTAAGTTTGACAGTTAATTAGGTATGTGAAGTTGCAACTTTATGGGGCCTATTTGTTAGGTGTACATGTAAATGGGAAAGAAAAAGAAGATGAAGGAAGAATTATTTTATTTTCTTAAGAGATGCCACAGAACCAGAGGATTTTTAAAGACAGATAATAGTAGCTGTGTTTTGGATACCACCTAGAAACCTTTCAGTGCATAATTTTGAAAATTTCCACAGCCACTTAGCAAATTACTTATTTTATCCTGTAGGAAAAAGACATGTTATCTGTTTTTATATTTAACATTTTCACATTCTAGGTAGCAGATAAACAAATAATGTTAATATTTTAAGTATGTGACAATGGAAAGAGGAAAAACATAGAAAATTATAAACACATCTGAGAACTCTAGTGAGATTCTGTACAAAGGATGGTAATACCTTTTCATATTCCCATGTCTTGCTGTTGCCTGAGCAACCAGGGAAAGCGTTCCTAATCCTCTGCATTTTTCCTGTATCATGGGTCAGCAGTGTTGGCTGGAAACGTGATTATGGCTGTTTTTCTATTTCAGCTGAAAGAAACAAGACATGAAAGATTGAATGAAGACCAGAATAGCCACTAGTAATTTGCTTTCCCCCCAGAAAGGATGGACACTCGCTGCACTAATTGTACTTATCATGGAATCATTCAGGTTGGAAAAGGTCATTAAGATCGAGTCCAAATCTACACTGGAAACATCAGAATTTCCAGGTGAATGCAGTTTAGGGGATGTTTTGCCTGATTTCTCTTTACAAGGCCATTTTCTGAGCCCATGAGCTTACACAGCTTTTAATGATGATGTTCAGCTGGTGCTGGCTCACAGCTGATTCAGTCAGCTCTCCTTTATTGTCGGAATGTACTCCATTAAATAGTACTGAAGGGTTAGTATATTTGCAACCCTCATTGATTTGCTGTTACATGAAAGTCAGTTAACTTCTTTTAGCCAAGTTTGGCTGGAAAACTAAATATCCTCCTGCCACAAACCATTCTTTCAGATCTGTCTTCAGAACACTTCGACAGAAAAAAATGTTTTAAAATTAGAGAACATTGAAATTAAAAACATAAGAACCACTGAGGAGATAGTGCTGGGTGCTTGTGTGACCTCTCTGATGTTAGTGAGGCTGAAGAGTGTTATAAATATATGTATAAAATTCCAGTGAAAATACATGGCAGCTGAGGCTTATGACTTTTGAGATATCAGGGTTTAACCTTTAATGCACAAAGGACCTGTATAGCAATTGCTCTAATTTTGGCAATTCTGAAGAAAACAGCAGCAGAACAGCCAAAAAGAGATACAAATATAAGTCAGTTTTGAAGCTTCATAAATCAAAGAAAAAGGTCATCTCTCAATTTTAAATGATACTTCGCTTCCCTTTTAAAGTATGTATTATATACTTGAATAAACATGAAGAAAACTGTAATATGAATGAGGGTGCCCAACTCTGTTTGAGGTATCCTGGCTGTTGCTTTCATTTGAAGCAACTAATTTTGCACTTGCACCCTTTAAAAACTGGGACAGCAACTAAATTGAATTAAGCTGTGCCTCTGGGAGTTGAGAGAAGTTCAGAACTTTCTTTTCAAATAACACGTTAGTTCCACGGCTTTGATATAAAGTGAAATTATGTATAACTTGTTTTGATGTTGTAACACATGGCCCTCAGTCATCAGAGATGTCTGGACATCTCTGTGCACAAGTCATCCCCAGTGTTCTTAATAGTGAACCTAATGTAATTATAATAAACTAATTCCAGTGCAAATTTAAGAGTATAAAATTTCAAAACTAAGGTAAAAAATTAAAGAGTTTGCAAAAGCTGGTCATATTAAAAGATAATAAAAAAAAGTCAAGTAAAACCCAGTTAAAATTCCACTTCAAGAAGAAAAACCATGGAATGTCCTGGGCTGGAAGAGATTTAACATCTGTTTGCAGTCTCCTGCTGTGGGACACCTTTCACTAGAGCAGGTTACTCCATCCAACCTAGCCTTGGACAATACCAGGAATGTGGCAGCCACCAGCTTCCCTGGACAACCTGCTTCAGTGCCTCACGAGCATCACAGAGAATTTTTTTCCCATTACTCAATCTAAACCTCCTCTTAGTTTGAAACAATTCCCCCTTTCCCTGTCCCTCCATGCTCTTGTAAAAAGTCTCTCTTCATCCTTACTGTAGGCTCCTTTCAGGTACTCAAGGGCTGCAATGAGGTAACCCCAAAGCTTCTCTTTTCCAGGCTGAAGAAACCCAGTCCTCTCAGCCTTTGAAGACACTAATCAATTATTGAAATTATTTTATATACTGTTTAACCAGGTTGTTTTAGGGTTTGTTTTATCCTTTGTGGCTAGGACCATACTGTTATACAGCTGTTCTTTTGAGGGCGAGATCCTTTGTAAATCAGTGAGTTTATTGGGAATTTATTTCTAAATCCTTGATATTTTTCATGCAAAAAAAAAAAAAAAAGACTAGTTTTTATTTATTTTCAAGTTTTGATATGTAAATAGCAGACCTGTAAAAAAGTATATACCATATATACACAGTAAATACTTCAAAGGGATATGTAAAGACTGTTCAGCAGTAAGTCACATCTTTCTCTTTGCATTTCAAGCTGCAACAGCTCTGGTCCAACCTGAGTACTTTGCAAAACAGACTGTCACAGACTAGCTGCTCTTGGATTCCATGGTTAACATACGTTAAGAGACAAAAGATCTCCAGTTGGACTGTAAATGAGGGAAAACAACATTCTTTGCTTCCTTCTAAAACAGTTAATTCTATAAATTCAGATGGTGATATTATGCAATACTCTGCGCAGAGTGGGAGGTGGAACGCACATATGCTCAAGTATGTGGCATGCTCTATAAAAAGTAAGTGTGGGAGCCTCTGCAATTCCTATCTAAATTCTTATCTCAGTTGCTAACTTAACTTCTTCCTTGTTCAATCCCCTCAGTCCCTCTCTTGCTTGTCCCTCCAGCCTGTCACACCTCTGCATGTGAAAAGGCCATCTGAAATATTACTCTACAAAATAAATACGGGCTCTCGCTATTTACATTGTTTGTTTGATGTTGCTTGTAGACTAACTGTGGCAGGCAAAGGTTCTCTGGGAGTGTGGCCGGGTTGGACTCTGGCACCCGACCATGCTTCAGGGTGTTTCCTGGGACCCCACGCCCCCTGCAAAAAAAAGTGGGCTGCAAAATCAAGGCACCCCAAACAAGCCAGGGACAAAAATCCCACTTAATTTCCCGTGGCCTGCCGGGGGAGGTACCACTCACAGCCAGTACATCTACACCCGAGCTCCCAAACCCCAACCCCGCGGATGATGCGGGGGGCAGGCGAGGCACAGGGCGAGCCCGCTCCGGCCTCCGGGAGGCCGCGGCTCCCCGGTGCTGCCTGGTCAGCCACGGAGGGGGAGAGCACCGGCAGCGGCGACCCCCGCCCAAGCCGCGGGCAGCGCGGAGGGACCCCCCGGCAGCGGCCGGGGGCCTCCCGCTCGGCGCGGCCCGGGTGTGGGAAGGCACCGGGGAGGGGCGGGCGGTGCCTGCCCGCGGGGGGAGCGGAGCGCGGAGCCCCCTCCCCCGCTGGCCGCTGGCTGCCGCCTCTCCCCGCCGCTCGGCCGGCCCGCGCCGCCACCGCCGCCGCCTCCATCTTGAGCGTGTGTCCCCTGCTCCCCCCCACCCCGCCTCCACAGCACCGAGAGCGTCGGGGGCGCTGGAGCCCCGGGGGGGAGCGGGGGGGAGGTGAGGGTGGTGGGGGGCGAAGCGGCACCGGGGCCGGAGCGGCAGCGGCGGGAGAAGCGGCGGC